GGGCACTGAAAGGACGCGAACCGTTATAATAATTTTTTTGTCAGAAGCTTATACAGCTCTGACTGAAACCATGTAAAGACATTCTCGCTAAAACATTTGTTATACATTTCAACAAGAGTAACAATACATGAGAATATTTAAAGAAAATCAAGACTACCTTATACAATGCATTGAGAAATGCACACAGAAGGTCTTAACTTCTGCCCCAACACTTCGATGTAGTAACTGGGGGGAATAAATAAGAACAAGATATATTAATTACCCTCAGTTAAAAAAAAAGACCTCTTTTTCACGCCTTTAGTATTGGGAACTTATGTAGGTGATGTGGTCAGCATCACTCTGACCACCTTTACTTCCCATGACTAAACCTGGTACTCATTGAAGACTGGGTCGAAATGGGAGCCGAGGTCATGTTTGAAAAAGGTCCAGAACCGTCGGACATAAACCCCCGACATTCCGATCCATAGGCGAGCGTCTAGTGCTACACCACGACAGCTCCAAACTACCATCAGCACATTATAATTGTTATTGTTATTATTATTATTATTATTATTATTATTATTATTATTATTATTATTATTATTATTAATATTATTATTATTATTATTATTATTATTATTATTATTATTATTATTATTATTATTATTATTATTATTATTATTATTATTATTATTATTATTATTATTATTATTATTATTATTAATATTATTATTAATATTATTATTATTATTATTAATATTATTATTATTAATATTATTATTATTAAGATTATTACTAATATTATTATTATTATTATTATTATTATTATTATTATTATTATTTTTAATATTATTATTATTATCATTATGTGCACTTAAAGTTAGATAAGTGATCTTTTTTGTCTTAAAATATATGTGGCAGAGGGTGGGGTCGTGGGTTGGGTGGGGTCTTCCGATTTCTTCACCTCGACCCTCTACATTTCTTCCCTATTGGCGTGCCAACGTCATCGTGTTTTTTTTTTTTTTAAATTAGCAGTGACGTACCCGCCTTCAGGCTGAATAACTAAATAAGATGACACAGATTATGCAACGAAGCCCACATGTTTGATTCCAGTCCTAATATTTGGTCACGAGGAGCGGGCAAGTGTGTATGAGAAATGGCTTCAAAAAAGGAGATGCCTATAGCTCCCCCGTAAGTATATTTTATTTAACAGTATAGTTTTCGAATAGTGATGCTGACCAAATCACCCATCTTGTCCCGACTGGTCTATAAAATATAGGTCTAGCCCTATATGCCCTTTACGCCTAAAGGCGTGGAAAAGTTTTTGAATATCGCTTGCAGGCATAGGATGACCGTGATTTAAGACGCAGTATAGTTTCTTTAGAGAATAATTACTGAATCATTATTGAGTCCTGGGTTTGCAGACGATGGCAAACAGACAAAGACTCAAAGTGGCACATATATACGGGTATCCGCAGATGTTAACCGCCCACTTCACAAAGCTACATACGACAAAAGAGGAATGCTCCGGGATGACCAAGGCTGAATATTTAATCCAGCAAATATGTGACCTAGACGAGATCAGTCACGGAAAAGAATGGGCGAATACACCTATAGAAATGTGGGCATTGCTAAGGTTATCATCACACTGGGTAGCAACTGCAGGGATCAGATTAATGCGGTCGTGGACACCGAGGTGAAGACACTGATAGATTAGTATTCACACCCAGAAGATATAATCATCTATACAGATGGATCCGTGAAGCGAGGATCAAGATCAGCATGGGCATATACAGCTCAAGAATGGGGAAAACGATACAAGATGACATCGGCGCTTACCAGGCAACCACATGAGACATAACCACGGAGATAGCCGCTGCATCAAGAGCACTATCGTCGGCAGCAGAGCAAACAGCCACACAGGCAGTAATTATCAGACTCCATGAACATGCTTCAGAAGATAGCAACAGTCGGTATGCTCTCTGAATGGATAGAAAGCATTCGAAAATCGCACTTAACATCCCTTACCTGGATCTACACACCTGGTCATTCGGGCGTAAAGGGTAATAAGAGAGCGGACCAAAATGCCAAGAAATGCATCAACACATGTGAGAAGAAGCATAGACAGAGCAGATATCGTCAACACGGTACGGAATGAGCTAGTCGATAATGACGATTCTCTGACACTAACACGATTGTATGACATGGGAGTAAAGCATGGTGAGGAACGTCTATGCCGTCTTTAAGGCCGAGATAGGAGACATTATAACCAGCTTCTCATGGGAACAATTAGTAGAAGTTCCTTGAAGTGGCTACTTCATCGGAGGACTGAGAACGCATTGGAATAACATAACATAACTGAATCACATAAATACTGTACATTGTTTTAAAGTCTTTCGTGTTTGTGGTCCTGTCTGACAGCCACCTTGTGGGGACTGTATAGTTATTTTTTTTTTTGCATTTGGTTGCTGAACCTTCATGGTCCTGTTCCTTTACATAATGTTGTTTATGCTGTTTTCTGTTGAGGCTGCTGATGTTTAATGTTTTATTTGTCCTTTAAGTCAAGATTGGATGTTAGCCTTTACATGTACAGACTTTAGGTAACTACAAACTGGTGTAACCGTTACAAATTTTCCCAGTTTAACGTCTCGAGAGGTTTAATTGGGTATCTGAGAATCTTCTACTTGAAGAACTCCCCCTCCCCCTCTTTTTTTTTTCTTCTTATCATTCAAAGTCTGCAAACTACTGGGATCATTCTGGTTGTTCCTCAACCTTTCGACTTGAGTCTTATTCCAGAATTTGAGTTTTGCGTGCACATATCTAGCGTATTCATATACAGACTGTATGAGCCTCATCTCTCACAAAAATGCACTACGATTTCAAGACAAAAATCCTTAATTATTAGTATTTTACGACATGCTTGTTGCGAGAGCAGTGTGTCAAATTCTCCCCCCCCCCCTCCCCCCACCCGACAAATGGGACTCCGAAATGCCCTTAGAGAGACTGACATCCGATATGTAGCTCTTTACGTGGCTGAGGTGTCAAATCTTTATAAAGCGGCAACTCGGGGACAAACCATCAATCATTCACTGGTTTCACGTGTTCTTAAAACAACATAACCCTTGACCTGTTAAGGTCGTGGATGTGTATTGATGAAACCCACCATCTTTCTCTGTCTTCCGTTTTTTGAACAAGTGTCTGATGAATTAATCCTGTCCATTTCTCGATGCTTTCATTCCAGTTTTTTCTCTGCCAAACACCTTTTCCTAGGTTAACCATCAATGATCCCTAAAGTATATTCTTTACAATCGAATCATGCCTCACCACGTGCACGAACCTAACTTACTTGCGACGTTTCGGCGATGCCAAAAGTTCAGTTTCTCGTTGTGTAAATGGGAACATGCTCGACAACAAAGTTAAAACTGTCAGCCGCACGAGTACTACATAACATTTCTATTTAGTTCAACGTTGGTCTCCCCAAAAAAGTAGGTCATGTTCCATTTATAACTTGTTTGGACTGGTCTATTTTACCGGTGGGTTACGGGTGTGCTGCTCTGTTGTTTGCTTTCTGGCTTTTCTTGCATTTACGTTTTTCTTCAGAGAAAGAGAATGCCTGTGACATAGGTTGCAGCACTCTCTAAAGGGGTTGTGTGTAAGAACCAGTTTGTCCATGTTTTTGTAGAGTTAAAAGCGCTGGCGTGCTGAAATATACGATATCAACGACATAGCAGAACACCCTCGTAGCAGTCTGCGAAGTCGCGCGGCTCAGAAATTACCAATCAGAAGTGAGCTAGTGTGTATATGGGATGGGGGGGGGGGGGGCGGCTCTGGAAAAACTATCGTGGAACTAACAAAATTTCAAAAATAAATCTGATTGCATTGGGGCAGATAGAGAAAACTACCTGAATACAACAAAATGCGAAACCACGCATACAATTTTTTTTGCGTGGGGGGGGGGGGGGTGGAGGGGGGTTATGTTTCAGGGGAAGGGGTGAGGGTGGCTAGAGAGGGGGTGAGATGTTGGTTCCCTTATAATTTTCTAAAGGACTTGGTTCAAGAATCTTAAACCTGGTGTAAGCGTGTAGTAATAATTAATATTACTGTGTGCTAAATTGTAAGTACATGTTTGTAATGACATGTGTAAACAAATACTCAACACAAAATACTTAACAAGAGAACGTCCATATTACCTGCACCTGTAAAAACAATAGCCACAAAAACCAACCAACCATGGATAAGTCAAAAAGAGAAGCAAGTAAAACCCAGCCAACTAAGATGACAGGGTGCTCTTCAAGTAGAAGAAGTATGACACGGTGTGGAGAAAGCCGAAAGGAGTCCCGATCGTTGACGTACCTCCTCTCAGCTAGGAAAACCTCCAGAATGGGCACCTTGAATGTTAGAACTCGCTATGATAAATGAAGAACAATGGAAAACAGGAGAACAGCATAATTAGAATGTCTTTGCATTGTAACCCACAGGGGCATAGGAACAAAGGAAGGCCAAAAAACACATGGAGAAGAGAGCTGGAAAATGAAGTCAGAAAAATGGGGAGGACATGGGGGGGGGGGGGGGAGCTCCATGTAATGGCGAAGGATAGAACGACTTGGCATGAGCTGGTTAAGTGCCTATGCTCGTTTGGGGGACAGAAAAGCAGAAGAAGATATGGGATATTAATTGCTGTATGCTTGTCACACATACACAATACACAGGCAAGCGGAGAAATATATCGTGCCGGCCAAAATATGGTTTTTAAGTAACGTAGACGAAGACAACAAAAGATGGAAGAGGGGGATGAAGAGGTATAGGAGAAGAAGAATGAGATAAAACAACAGGTTAAAAGTTAATCTTACGTAACTGAAAAATTTTTGCTCCAGTAACAAATCCTAACTTCTGCCTTCGTCCACAGATCATGTACAAGACCGTCCTTGCAGCTGTTTTCATTGTCACGGCTGTCTTGATACCACAAGATCTAGAAACTCTAAGATCGTTCTTTCTAGAATTCACCATCCCCTTTGACGTCGTTACTTCAGGTTTGGGTTCAAATAGAGGAGGTTTGGCTAGATATAGAAAAGGTTTTGGTGGATATGGAGGGAGATTACGCGGATTTGGAAACTCATTTGGCGGATAGGGAGGAGGTTTGAGAGGTTTCGGACGTGGATACGGACAAGGCAAAGCTGTCACTGTTTCAGCGAAAGAAGGATACGGTGGAAACTGATCTGGCGAAGATCTGGCTATCGTTGCGGCAGTGGAAACGATGGTAGATACGGTAAGTTGTATAATCTGCTAAATTCTTCTTCTTCTCCTCCTTTTTGTTTGCTGGCTGTAAACTCTGGCCAAAGGTTCTGGTTGTTCATCCACTTCTGTACTTTAGTCTTGTTCCAGAATCTGAGTTTTGCAGCTCTGGCTTATTTGTATCCAGATTTTTGGTTCCTCGTTTCTTAGGCAGATTTTGAAGAAATCATGCCTAATTGGTCGACTCTTTGGCATGCTCCTTAGAGGGTAGTGGAAACAAAATGGGCCCCCAGAACCCACACGGCGTAACCTAATAGATAATTATAGGGAGCCGCGGTGGAGCATTAGTAACCAGAGTTCGTCATGGAGAGAGAGAGAGAGAGAGAGAGAGAGAGAGAGAGAGAGAGAGAGAGAGAGAGAGAGAGAGAGAGAGAGAGAGAGAGAAATCACCATGTCTTCCAGGCTCAGTCCGCCACAAACTGGTATCCGACTGTGCTGGGAAATCAAGGCTGCAGTCATCATCTAGCGACAATTTAAATGTTTAGCTGCAGGTAGCCATCTGGTCTGCTTGTGAAACAATTCATTTACTTACTCAATTACATGTTTGCTGGTCTAAGCATGTCTTTTGTCGTTTATATTCGTAGCACTTGTGATGATTAGCATTTGCCGTGAATAGGGTGTGATCGAGGAGAAAAAAAAGGCAATTATTGCCTTTATACCACTTTCGCGGTGTAGGCAGGGGGGTCTTTGAGCATGAGGTTTTACGGCCGCGTGGATAATGCTGTCGCTACGAACTGTGCTGGTAGGAATTGTATTTTTTGTCTCCGTAAGAAAATAAAATAAAAACCCAACCTTACCTAGAGCCCAGCGTCCCAACAGATCAGCCAGCCACTCCTCAGTGTGTGATTATAAACCATTAAATCTGGTTCGCAATTTTCTGTTCACTTCTATTTGTTTGAAATTTTTTCGTCTTTTTTAGTTCCAGAGAGAAACCCATTTCTTCTATAATTATATAGAAATATAATTGCATTTGTGTCAATAATACCCGCGAGTGTGCGTTTGTATACAAGTGTGTGCGTATGTGACAAATGTATATATAGTTGTTTCATGTTACAACTCAAAAACATCATGCTCATAAGGAGTTTCCCTAACTTTCTGTAGACATCCCTAACCTGATAATGTATGTTCTGTATCCACAGGGTACTAGAGCTTCATACACAACCAACTTCAGGACATCTGATACATATTTTTCTTGTCAATAAATAAACGTCCTTGTAAACGCTACCGTGCTTTAAAATGTTTTTTTTGATATCTGTATGTGTGTGTTGGTGTGTGTGTGTGTGTGTTGGTGTGTGTGTGTTGGTGTGTGTGTGTGTGTTGGTGTGTGTGTGTTGGTGTGTGTGTGTGTGTGTGTGAATGTGTGTGTGTTGGTGTGCGTGTGTGTGTGTTGGTGTGTGTTGGTGTGTGTGTATGTGTGTGTGTGTGCGTGTGTGTATGTGTGTGTGTGTGTGTGTATGTGTGTGCATTTATTTGTGGTAAAGTAAAAGAGAGCACTTTATGCTCAACGTTAACCCTGGATAAACTAAACCAAGTTTAAGATGGAGAAACTAATACTGAAATTTGGTGATGATTTTCAATACTGGACCAATAACCCATTTCAATCACAATTTTGAAACAAAAAAATGTTTACAAATGATGCAGCTGATACTTGTATCTGTCACGTCATCGACCAATCGCTGATTCATCGTTTCGTAATCTTTAATGTGATTCAGTTTTTGTGTGTTGTCCTGGAGTGGAGACGGAGCTCCCTGGCAAGTGCAGACGGGTATTGTCGTTGCATGTCGACAGAGAAGGTTTCACATGTCATCAATCCATCTTGTCCTTTACCTGCTGGTGTACATGCTGTGTTTTGTGAGAGGGCGCGCTTTCCTGAGGCGAATTGAGATTTTGATTTGATTTTGATTGCGTGATACCCATAGCTTCCTAGTTGCGGTCCTCTTTGCTTTCGTAAAAGTATCTTTGCAGTGTTAAACGTGATAGTATATCATCATTTTCATTAGCAATTTCCACTTTTGCTGTTAAGGAGTATATAGAGGACCAATATCGACCCATTGCTTGAAAGGAAACAATGCCTATTGTTATTCTGCGTCGATGTTGAAGGTCTTTAATGACATCAGTCCATATCATCTAGGACAACCTCTTTTACCTTAGATCTTTTCATGTGTAGCGCTTGTGTCAGTAGCTGTTGTGGTTGCATTCTACCGAGATGACCAAACCGTTTTATCTTCTGCTATTAAGTAAATTTTTCTAGATGGTGATGTTCCCACAGTCAATACGATAATAGGTGCTTTATTAATATCCTAGCCCCAGATGACGTCACAGGACAGTCCAATATTTTAGAGGGTGATAAGACTAGGTTCTCGAGCTTTCTGATGCTTTTCAAAACATCTAAACTGGCCCTAACCCCAACCCACCTTCGTCCAACAAGAGAGTGCAGCATAGGTCTCACGACTGCATGCAGCCCAGGTCCCACGACTGCATGCCGCCCATCTACCACCTATTGAAATATTAGACTCTCGAGTGACTTGTGGATTTCCCCTCTTTGGGGTAGGATATTAACAAGGCACCCGATAATATAATTTCTCACTTTGTCACTGATGGTTCAGCTGACAGCCTTCCTCAAGCACCTCTTCTCACAGGTGGTAATTTTACTTCAGATGAGTCCTTGGTAATGTCCCAGTTTGCCACTGGTAGCACAGCACTAGTATGAATATGCTGTTTTTAAATCTGTTTCTTGGCGGCCATACTTATGTTTGGATATCCTAAAAATCGGCGTCACTTGGCATATAAGTGCACCGGTTCGGTGGTATATTGTTATCTTGCTTCTATTTACCAAACTATCTCCTATTTTCATAGAACACACTTATTGGGTATTTAAATTCTTTAAATTCATTAGAGACAAGTTCCATTTAACAATATTTGTAGTGGAAGTTATTTAAACTCTTTAAATTGATTCAGACAAGTTCCATTCAACAATATATGTAGTGGAAGTTATTTAAACTCATTAAATTGATTGAGACAAGTTACATTTAACAATATCGATATTGGAAGTTTTTTAAACTCCCTAAATTGATTCAGACAAGTTTTATTCAACAATATCTCTAGTGGAAGTTGTTTAAACTATTTAAAATGATTCAGACAAGTTCCATTCAACAAAAATCTGTAGTGGAAGTTGTTTAAACTATTTAAAATGATTCAGACAAATTTCATTCAACAAAAATCTGTTGTGGAAGTTGTTTAAACTATTTAAAATGATTCAGACAAGTTCCATTCAACAAAAATCTGCAGCGGACCATAAATTCTTCTGACCTGCATTATTTTAATTGAACGAATAAATCAGTAATTGGCATTGCTGCACCCAGGACTTTCCCACACATGCTTTGTCTCCTTTCAAAGTTTTAACAAAAGCAGTCCACATGCTAATTAATACTTTCAACCTCATTAAAATATATATTTGTAAATCTTCCAGAACCTCCACTCATTTACTCATTAACCCCCCATCCCACCCCATTTCCCCCTCCTGGGTTGAGTAAGTCTTTCAGTGTTAGGATTTACTGTATGTTCTGTTAATATGATCCCAAACAGCCTTTCCCACTTCCACGTAATCTAAATGACTAGGCTTCAAATGACAACCTGAAAAAGGTAATTACTCTATTGCCCTCTAACCTGTCAATAGTGTTGTTAAGGATGTCAAGAGTTGTAAGCACATGATATGACAATGCAGGCGAACACGGTGACTTCACAAAGGAAGTCTAATAAAGTTTGCCGTCCCACTTTTGACATGTACCAAAGAGGAGCAGCGTTCTGTAATAATTTGCTTTAATCAGTTACGAGGTGAAATCTGTAGAAATTCACCGGCGAATGAAGTTCATTTTAACTTTTAATCTAGGTGTCACATTCACTGCAAGCGGGTCACTCTATGCTTGCTCTGTTTTTGCTCCAGTGCAAATCAAATTAAATGTGCCTTCCTGACCTATTTGAAAAACTGGCGAACAAACAATTAGTTCTAGCACAATTCAGAAATATGGGGAATGCAGTAAATGCATATGGCAGTTTCTAGAGGCGCCAGAGCCAACCTTCGCCACCAGAAATGCAGTTGGTTGGTGGAAGTAGTCGGGTGCAATAAGTTAGCTATGCACACGTAGAATTATAACATAAGGTATTTTACCCAGTTTTTGTCGGCACTCTGGTGTCACATACTTTACACTCTTGACATCCTTAACAACAATAATGATATGGATTGTGACATTTATTTGACTTCGGGAATCGAGTTAAGTAACTATACGACCACTCCATTGGAACCGACGCTGTTTTATCTTTGACAAAACACGACACCATTTCCTTTAGCTCATTGCCTAAATTGTTCTTGTGACTATTTCTAAATTGGTCTGGTAAAGTCGGGAGATGTGAACCAGCGTCATTGCACACGGTTATAAACCATAAGTGCTCTACCACCAGTACAGACAGCTGATAAGAGATTGTCCACCTGTGTCGCTGTCCGCACGAAACTCCATAGCTACAGCGACGTTCCTCCATTTACCCCAGAGTGTCAGCTCTGGTACCCATTTTCTAGAGGCTGGGTGAACCCCGGGAACCGCCCGGTTTCGAACACCGACTGTGGGCTGCAGCGAGTCGCAGCTGGATTTGAAAGCGAGCCTCTTATGGACTGCGCTAACGCGGCTCCCGTTACTCATTTAAGTGTAAGGCATGCTGATTGTGTTGCCTTGCTTTTTTTTTTTTTTTTTTTTCTACATACCACAATTATTGTAAAACAAAAACTAGACGTTTGTTTACATTAAAATATTTATGAAAATGAGGTTAAGTTTGAAATGATGGTTGATTTTATTTAGGAGAACAGGAAAATCTTGTCAGAACTAACGCAATCACCTGATAATATACGAAAAAATGAAGATTGTTCTCGCGCCAATACATGGACAGAGACACTTCGTGACAGCATTGCAGCTGGAATGGAGGGGCGGGGGAATGAGGAGTCTAATAGAGAATATGTTTAACTGTTTGACATCATGTCTTGTAGACTCATTGGTATTAAACATATTAACATTACAAATGACTGAAGGCTATGGACTGATGTGTTATCCAATGTCATACAACATGAATAGACTTGGGGAACTAGAAGTTTTTTTTTTTTTTTTGGGGGGGGGGGGGGTCGCTTTCTTACTTTTCATGTCTTCTTACAGACCATGCAGTGTAGATTTGTCTCTCCACAACCTTCTTGTTTTGTGTGTGCTATCAATCAGATTTTGACCAAGATAATCTTCTATTCCATCATGTCAGACGGTCCCTCTGCCTCTACCCCCCCCCCCCCCCCCCCCTCACAATGTACTCCAGCTTTCTTCTTTCCATGATATGATCGAAGAATGTAGAATCTCTTTCTGATATGGACAATCAGTTCTCTTCGTGGGTCAGTTTCTCTCAAAATATCTTTTGTTAATCTTTTTATCTGTTCAGGGTATTCCTTTTATTTATTCACATTTGTCTGCATGCATTATTTTGCATTCACTTTTTTGCATACATTATTTTGCATACATTATTTTGCATGCACTTTTTTGCATGCATTATTTTGCAAGCATTATTTTGCACATCGTCACTTGTCATGCCCTATGTGCTTTCCGATCCAACTTGCTCTCTCACATCATCCATGGAGACCCTGACTAGATTGTATTTCTTTCACCGACTATGCCATGTTATCAAGCCATCCATGGATTCATTTGTGTGTTTGTGTATGTAATTTCCTTTGATCACATCGAGCATGTTAGTTGCTATAGAAAAGTCTTCTTCTTCTTCTCTTCCACCTTTTACCTCATCGAAGTGTCGGGGGAAGGTGTAATGTTCGTTGATGAGCTCTGTCAAGTGCACTATTAAGATGCCATCACTCCATATTTTCCGAGGTCTTCCACTCGCTCTATACCCGTTGTAACGTTTTAGTGTGGCTTGTTGTAGCGGATAGTACCAGGGCATTCTTGTTAGGTGTCCATATTATTTCATTTGTTGTTCTTTGATTACCTGTAAGACTGGCTTTATTCCTAGCATTCGTCTGATTTAATGATTTCGTATTCTGTCTTTCCTTGAAACTCCTGCAGCTCTTCTAAGGCTTTTCATCTATGTTGTCACAATTTTACGTTCATAGAAAGGTAACAGTACAAAAATGTCGCGTCTGTCTTCTCATAAACGCGTTCATTTACTTCTTGGGAGAATCTCTTTTTTTTTTTTCCTTTTTCTTTCTGTGCAACCAGAGTTTTTATTGCAATAAAATGTGCCCTAAAAATTATAAGCTTCTAGTTTTGTCTTTTCCTTTTCATCTCTGACATCTGTCAGACATACACAGACCATTTCAACTGTTTTTCAAACAGCAATGGACATATTTGATGGCGACTATTTACCATTTTCAAACAGAAATTTTTTTTGGATTTATCTGTAATTATTTTAGATCTTCTGTTCTATTTGATGACTGTTCCAAGATAATGATCTCCGCATTTTCTTTTGTTATTTCCTAATTTTTGAATATGATCATTATTTATGTTTGTTTACATTTTAATTCTCTCCTTAGTTGCTCAACATTATAGTACAACAATGAAATGCACATTGAGTTAGAGATTGCATAAATGAACAAACCAAATCAAAGTAGTGTTAAACAAACACGTTTATTTGTTGACAAACAAGAACGACTCAGATGTCCGGAAACTGGATTGGTATGAAGCTCTAGTAGCCTGTGGATGAAAAAAATACATATGCTGGTTAGTGGTATCCACGGCCTTAGATAAAGAATGCAGGAACACGAGTATCGTGTGGAATAATAATGTGAAGTAGTTAAATTGCAGAGGTAAACACCTAAAGGTGTAGATAATGAAGCATCAGGCTTTTCTCGTGTGACCATTGGCCAAGACGTGAATGCATTAGACTAAGTAGTAGATCCGCGAGTTAACAGCAGAAATCTGAAAAGAAAAGTTGAAGACCGAGGACAACACGTGTGAGCAAACGACATTAAGCTAAACACATGATATATGGCGAATGGAGCAGCGAATACAGATTTATTAGAAGCCTGTCTGGTGCAGTATAACAGATGTGTAAACATCTGTGTGGAAGAAAAGCTTAATTGTAAGTTTGCAATAGACAAATTTATTTGCAAAAGACTAGTGCAATGATTTCCAAACTGTGCGCGGCGGCGCCTCGGGGAGCCGCGACCTCTTAACAGGGGCGCCGCGAAATAT